TACTGAGATACACACCGACAACTGGATTGACAGGACTTGATGATGATGAAGATGATGATGAAGATGAAAAAAGGTGGCTGAACAAAACGGCCAGTTCGCCGATTTTTGACTTTTCGCTTAGACAAGGTCTAGAGCCACGCTAGTTGTACCATTGGAGTCCTCTGGTCAAGATAAGGTCCTCTATAAAGTCTGGTAAGCATAGGAGCTCGTTTTCCCAGTATAGCAAGGCTGCAAAAGTCGTGGCAGCCATTTTGTTTGGGGGTGAATCCTACTTAGTAACGCTACCGCGTTACTAAGTACTATTAGTAACGCTACCGCGTTACTAATAGTACAGGGACTTTGGGCCAATTTTTGAGTAACTTTAAAAAATCGTAAAAAATTTAAATTTGATTGGAATCAGCTCAAACTTTCTACGCAACATAAAAACATGTACATGTATCAGAAAAAATTATAAAAATAAAGAATTCTCAAATTTTCATTTTTGGCGAAATTTGGCCAAACACCCTGTACTACAGTACAGGGACTTTCGTTGAATTTTGAAGCAATGCTATTAGGTACACTTATTATTAGGATTTAAATGGTATTAAATCCAGTTGCATGTGCATATACATACATTATGCACATAAATGTATTGCATGCGTGTACATGTGCATGTAAAATTAAATTAATCATTATTGTAAAACTCATTCTTACCGCTGACCACGCCTTCTTTTCGCACCTAGAGCACGTCCAATGCAATGGGACACTCTCACAATCCTCCACACCATAACACGCTATATAACGAGTAACCATGGTAACAAAATGACACGCCCACTTACATTTGTGAACGGTGATCATGCAGTGCTGACAAGTGAGTAGTTGAGAACCATCTTCATCTTCATCTTCATCGACAGGTTGTGCCGGGAGGGAGGGAGGAGGGAGAGAGAATGGTAGCTTAAGTGATGATCTTTGTACATGTACCTTTAGAGGGAGGGAGGGAGCGAGGGAGAGGGAGAGGGAGGGTGGAGGGAGGGAGAGAGAGAGGGAGAGAGAGAGAGAGAGAGAGAGGGGGGGGAGGGAGAGAGAGAGGGGAAGGGAGAGAGAGAGAGTGCAGTATGTGATAGAGCAATAAAGATAATTAAAGACAAAAAGGTACATTTTGTACACTGTACATGTATCATATGGAATATATACAAACCAAGGAATAAGAAAGAGGAAAAGGGAATCAAAAAGTATATACAACACAGCAAGTATACAATAAATACACAAATAAAGTACATGTACATGTACATGTATACAAAAAGTATATTAAGTGCATATGCATGTATTTACATAAGCCCTGTTTAATCTATAAACCAGTTTGGATCAAAGCGGTTCAGAAACAAGCTCAATTGTGTCCAACTTAACTGTGGCTATAAATCAGTTTACAATGCTACTGTGTGCTACTGCATACATAATACAGCTGCTTCAGTACTTTAAACTGGTTCAATTATCTCAAACCATCATGTCCACATGTAAACTGGTTTATTATAAACTGGTTTCAAACCGCCTTGAGGGCATAGCGTAAATGGAGCTATAGATACATGTACATGTATCAAAGCACTCATTACTTTGAAGGTTACTCATTCATTACTCATTATTTTGTTCAAATAAAGGCTGGGCTTGAATAAACGCCTGGGACTAAGAATTTCCTCCAAGCATAGAAGGATATGCATATTTTACTCAATATAAGTCCTAACACTTTTAGAGTGTCCCAAATGGCCTAACTTATTAAGCTGAGTGCATTGAATCTGGAGTTCCGGGTTCGAATCCAAGTTTTACTTTTTCTTTTTTTATTTTACACAATTTTTTTTGTCCTGGAAAGAAATAAACGCCCGGGCTTTTATTTGAACATTTACGGTACATGTACATGTATCAAAGCACTCATTACTTTGAAGCTTTGTCCTGATCTAATCTTGGACTCCTTGATGCACTGAACTGTAGAGTATAGTTGTGAGACATTGTACGTATTGAATGGGCTCGGTACATCAAATAAAGAACAGATGCAGCATTTTGATTGGCCACGAGAGAGTAACTGATTGAAAGCTCTTTCAATCAGGAAGTCATGTGGCTGGCTCTGCCAGAGTCCTTCGAAATTGTCCGTCCAATCAGATTGCTTCTTTTCTGCCGGTTTTCTTTTCTTTGTTGGCGTCGCTATTTCTAGGATTTTCTTATGTTTTGTGCCAGCAACTGAAAGTACAGACCTGGAACAATAAAATAGATAATAGATAATGCTTTA